CTCAACGCCGACCTGTCCCGTCTCAACTCAGAGAAGAGCAGTCTGCAAAGCAAACAGTGGATGATTCAAGTCAGACTGACTGATCTTCAGCTGAAGTTGGCCACTTCCAAAATACAGCTGGGTGAGAGTCTTTCTATGCTCTTAAATTCACATTTCAGCAGCTAAAAATGGTTTTAAGTCAGTTATTTCTATATTTTGCTGTAGTGTGTCAGTAGGAAATATCACTTTACATTTCCAAACATTCATTTAGCCATTAATTGTAATAATGCAGTGAGATTTCTGTGCTGCACACAGAGATCTGATCATCATCAGTCTGTCTGTCGTCACATGAAGAAACAGAACAAACTGAGACAGACTCAATCCAGAAGAACTGATGCTTCAAGAAACCTCCTGCAAAGCTACAGTGCTGTTTTAGGCACTTGAAATGAAAAATGCTGTAAAATGAGGATGCTGTCATAAATAGATCAATTAACTTCTATTAACTAAATGAAACCAACATTTGGTGTGAGCATCTTTTGTGTTTAAAGCAGCTTTTGCCCTCGGTGCACTTGAGCAGAGTTTTTCAGGGAGCTTTGCAGGTACACTAAAATAAATCTGTAAAAATAGGGCACGATATCTGTGTAATTTGATATTTTACCAGTATTTAAAATTTTACACTTCATTGCATTTTGTTTTAGAGTTAACAGAAATGTCCGTAAAATTAATGGATAGTGTCGTGTGTAATGAGCTGCCAGTTCTTTTTCTGTTGTTTTACGGATTTATTTTTTACAGTGTAGGTTTGCTAGACAAATGAAGTCTTCCATTTACTTGTTACAATTCACAATATTATTACTATTTTAATCTCTTAAATGATAAACTTGAAATATTACATAAATATTAAACTGTAAATTATTACATATTAAATACTATCATTTTTTCAAACATTTTTGTGGACGGAAGTTTTCAGCTTTTCACCAGATTCATAAAACATTTATAAACCTTTTGTCAACTAAACACAGACTTAAGTCTCCTTGCAGTTTTCTGCCAAAATAAATAAATGATGGTTTAACATTTGAAAGTGATGGACTTGAGACATATTATGTATTGTAAGTACTGCAGTGTAAAATAAAATAATCATTATAATGTTCAAATATTTATTATTATTTATTTCTAAATTAGTTAATGATATAAACTTTATTATTATTATTCAAATGGACTGGTTTCCTCAAAACAGTAGTATTAATATAATGTGGACTGAGACACTATCACATAAAAAAAAAAAGCACAGAAATCTCACTGCATTATTACAATTAATGGCTAAATGAATGTTTGCAAATGTAAACTGATATTTTCTACTGACACACTACAGCAAAATATAGAAATAACTGACTTAAAACCATTTCTAGCTGCTGGAAATACTAGCGTTCTAATAATGTATGTCCACCACTAAATGGTCTGAAGGCACACATTGATTTCTCTGATCTGCTGTTGTTTGTCCAGGTGTGATTCCCAGTCCTGTCCACCTGAAGGACGTCCAGCAGACTTTCTCAAATCCAGCAGATTCTGGTTCAGCTTCAGAAGTTCTGGGAGAAAGTAGAAACTCTGCTGGACTCACTGAAGGAGAAGACCTTTGTTAGTGAGGATCTCATTGAGGACCTGGACGACATGAAGGAGGAGTTTCTGACCTCCATTGAAGCAGCAGGAAAGGTGATATAGATGTTGGTGGAAGTCGATTCATCCCTTTGTTAATATTCTCTTAGTTGAGATTATCCTATACAGTTTCAACACCTATATGTGACCCTGCAGCACAAAAGCAGTGTTAAGTCGCTGGGGTATATTTGTGAGTGTCGCTTGCATCAGCTTCTGATATTTCCAGCATGCATGAGATTCGTCAATGTCACCCCGTGCGCGTGCTGCATCTCGTTAGCGCATGCATTGAAGCACGAGCCGAAGTATGCATGCTTTGTGACACACAAGATCCTAAAACACACCCTGCATCCTCATGCATATTCCCAAACTTGTCTTTAGGATGTGAATGCTGTTCTGCAGATGCGCGCAGGCCTCAGCCAGTGTCAGTGTGCTTATTCTGCCTGTATGCATGCATTATGTTTCATGCATTTTCATTCTGTGTGTCTGTTCATATCTTGTGTCAGCATCTCACAGAGGCCTGTATTCATTTAGAGGAGCTTTGTCTTATTTCTATGAGGTTTTCAATCTTTTAAATGCCACAGGCCCCAAATATGAGCATCCTCATGTGAGGGACCCTCAGTTTATATACTGTATATTTTCATGTATAAAGACCTGATTTAGACTGGTATACTATCTATACACTATATAGGGCATATTATACCAGTTTAATATTATATTTAGAAAAATTATAGTTTCTGTTTATACTAAAAATTAAAAATTTATTTTTTTTAAATAGCTAAATAATATTGTTTATTGTTTACTTGCTGTATTTTTATTGTAATAATACAAATTAATTATTAAATTATTTATTTTAATATTTTATTATTATTAATTTTTACATTTTAACAGTCCCCCCCCCCCCAAACGACTCCTGATCTATAAACTGAATTAATACATTATTTCTAAATCATTCATATTATGATGTTGTGAATGAGTTTGGATGCTGCAGGTTTGTCCAATCAGAGACCAGATCCAAGTCTGAATTATGACCCATATTGATAATCAACCGATATATCGGCTGATATTTAACCGATATTTTGAGATTATCGGCATCAGCCAACAACCTGCTACCTTATTTCATTTCCAATTAACAGCCAATATTAAAAAATAAGCCTTTTAAAATATATTTTTAGGTAAAAAACATGTACAAATATGTATGTATATGTACATGTATATCAACATCTATAACATATATACTGTATATATCAGCATTATATCAGTTATCTATTCTAAGTTGTTATATCAGCAATCTAAAAAAAAAAATTTCAGTTGGAAACAAGCTCATATTTATAATAAATTCTTGGATAAGACACAGATCTGATCTCAAACATGAGTGTTGTGTAGAATTAGTTCTATATAGATATTTAATGTTTTCATTGCGCATATTAGAGGAATAATTCATCCAAAAATAGAGATGTCATTATTTACTCACCCTCATGTCTGCAAATATAAAATTCTTCCTCCACAGCTCTCAGATCTCATTTGTATGGTGTTCAGATGAACTAACGAGAGGTTTGGTGTTGCGTATGCTCTCGAGTGTAAAATCTGAACTGAATGTGAAATGGAGAATCAGGTTCGAGAGCTGAATTGGAAGGGAAGGTTTTCAGTGAAAACTTTAGGAGTCTAGAATGAGTTTAGGAGGCTTTTTTGTCCATTTTTGGCATTTGACATTCATGCTTGATGGTGATTTATGGCTAAAACAGTTTGCCGGATGAAATGTGTCCCTGGAGCACAAAAGCAGTGTTAAGTCGCTGGGGTATATTTGTAGCAATAGCCAACAATACATTGTATGGGTCAAAATTATCCATTTTTCTTTTATGCCAAAAATCATTAGGATATTAAGTAAAGATCATGTTCCATGAAGATATTTTGTAAATCTCCTACAGTAAATATATCAAAACTTAATTTTTGATTAGTAATATGCATTGCTAAGAACTTCATTTGGACAACTTTAAAGATGATTTTCTCAATATTTCGATTTTTTTGCACCCTCAGATTCCAGATTTTCAAATAGTTGTATCTCAGCCAAATATTGTCCTATCCTAACAAACCATACATCAATGGAAAGATTGGTATTTTGTCATTTAGAGCAGATTTCTTCTCTCTGTAGTAAAGCGCTTACACAGAACACATGTTTGCTGATGCGTGTGACGCTTGAGAGAACATGCCAACATCACATCAGGACACGCATGAGTGCAGATCAGCCTTTGGGGACCGTTGGGTTCACGCTATCATGACCAAACATTTAGCATGGATTCTTTCTAAGCACTGCACTCAGTTTCAACCTCAAGTCACAGTGAAATCGAGTATGTTTGTTCAGTGTAGTGGATGCATATAAATAAATAAATAAATGCACCAAATGTTTTTTTTTTAAAATAAAATTAAGGTTGCATGTAGCCGAAAGCTGAGACATAAAGTTTGGATAATTGAGCATTTGTCCTCACCTGTCAATATTTCAGCCAAACAAACCTTACATATTTCAACTTTGGTCAGAGAAGCGCTAATTTAATGCCACTTTTTCAGTCGATGACTTTGGCCCTTTGGAACCAAAATGAATTTTATTGTATCAATTTATTTATTTATTTATGTTTATTTATGTTTCGGACTAATATTTTTTGGTCACCAAAATTTAGGTGCATCAGGGTTATTATAGTCAACTCAAATTAAAATTAAAACCATTAAAATGTTTCTTAAATGTTAACAGAAATAAAATAAAAACATTTTCATGTTAATTGAACTTGACGTACTAAAATAACTAAAACTGAAATGAAAATGAATAAAAACTATATAGACGCATATAAAAAACAAAAGCTACTAAAATGACAAAACTCCACAATATTACAAAATAAAAAAACTAAAACTGTAAAAAACTGATTTGAAATATTAATAAAAACTATAAAAGTATATGATTGGGTTTTTACAAATTGTATTTCATATTTCAATTTGTTGTGTTTAATTTTTTGTTAGATGTTCATACTACGAATGATTAAACCTTTTTTTAAGTCTGATTTGATTAGATTTTTGTCTAAAAAATGTCTTGTGAGGATTCTGACCTGTATTGAACATATTTAGTTAAAGCATGCATTAAAATGCATGTTTGATTTAATAAAGCTGTCCACTCTTATAAGGTCATTTCAGGCCTCAAAACGGCAGATGCATGTGAAGTTTACCCACAGATAACGTGATGTATGTTTGGACCTCAGGTTGAGTCGTTTATGTTCTTTAAGCCGACTCCGTTCTGTGTTCGTGACATTTCTGGCTCACAGCTAAATATCTGTCAATGCAGTAACCTTCACTAGTCTATACTAATGAAGGCCTTTGAGTTTCTAACGATGGGCTCAGTGCCTTCTGTGGAGTCTCAAACCATCCATAAACTCTCTGATTTCCAAAAGCGATGGAAATGTACAGTATTGCTGCTCGTTTCAGACGAGGAGGATCTCTGCGTGTCCACTCCACGGGTCACTGCCGCCCACATCTGGGCTTTGTTTGCGTGCGGGGTCACCCGCGGCCGATGGGAACTATATGTTCCTGATGCGTTTGCTCCTGTTTCACGCTCTATTTATAGAGCTGATGAGGAAGGATGCTTGAAATCCGATGCGCCTCCATTAAAACAGAGGGAAGGCAGGGCTGCTGCTGCTCTCTAATGGCTTTACGGTCGAGAAACGCTTGTAATGAACAACTCAAACGTGACCTACAGTAGCAATGCCTTTTATAGACTCTTAATTCAGATTCCTGGTCTGATTATGAAGGATTCATCAGTGATGTTGTTCGAATGGAAAACAACATCACTGCTTCGTCTCTCAAATGTTTTTTTTTTTCGGTTGACATCAGCATTTGCTCACTTTTTTCAAGTAGGGATGCACCAAAATGAAAATTCGTGGCCGAAACCGAACAAAATTAAACACTGGGCCGAAGGCCGAACACGGAGTTTTTTCCCCATGTATTTTGCCAATTTTTTTTTCACCATTGCATAGATTAAAAAGCCAAAATGTGCTTTTTACTGTTTTGTCTTGCTTTTCAAAGAAAAAAAATCAATTACAAAACAACAATTTAAAAATGTTTAACACTGAACATTTTTAACATTCTAGCAGACACTATACCAACAAAGCACAATTTAACTTAAAAT